TGTATGATACTGCACATCAGTAGAAAATAGAAAGCATGGTGTTTTCGGACTCATCAACACGCTACCCAGCAGGCACCAACATTTACTCTACCCCTGCAGACTTATAGTCATATCTGTGGTGCCACAGAACAAGTTAAATCCAAAGTGAAGCAGCTCCCAAAATCTTATTCTAGAGAACTATACGATATTATTTTGCCAAAACTACAGCCCTTCAGTGGACAGAAACCTGTAGCCAATGCCTTTGCTATTCTCAATCAAAACAGCATTTAAGAACATGACTGTAATAAAGGACACACATACCACAATAACCAGCTGGCAAGTGAAGAAAACAGGTGGTGGGCTGCAAAAGTAAGGATCTATTTTAAATAGATCCTTATCAGGGCATAATGTCAAGAAACAAGCGGTTCTGCATTAAGACTAGTTCAAACCCAAATTCAAACAGAGAAACATAGAGCTAGAAGAGACCTCCAGGATCCTGCACAACACAGGAGATTCACAACTCTCCCCCCCCCTTCCCCCAGTGACCCCTGCTCTATGCCCAGAGAAAGGCAAAAAAAAAAATCCAGGATCCCTGGCTAATCTGGTCTAGCGGAAAATTCCTTCCTGACCCCAGAGTGGTGATCATCATTACCTTGGCCCTACCTGAGCCTGCTTGCAGGGAGGGCGGGGTATAAATCAAAATAATTAATAAATAAATATAAGAAAGATCCACCAGAGCCAAGTACTGACTCATCCCTTCCTGCCCTCCCACTCCTGGTCTGCCTAAATTCACAGAATAAGGATTGCTGTCAGATGACCTTCTAGCCTCTGCTTAAAAATCTCCAAAGAAGGAGAGCCCACCACCTCCCAAGGAAGCCTGCTCCACTGAGCAACTACTCTGTCAGGAAGTCCTTCCTAATGTTTAGTTGAAAACTCTTTTGATTTAATTTCAGTCTATTGGTTTTGGTCCAACCTTCTGGGGCAACAGAAAACAATTCCGCTTCATCCTCTAGAATAACAGCCCTTTAAATACTGGAAGATGGCTATCATATCACCTCTCAGTCATCTCATCTCCAGGCTAGACATACTCAGCTCCTTCAACCTTTTCTTGTAGGACGGTCTCCAGACCTCTTACCATCTTCGTTGCCTTTCTCTCGACATGTTACAGCTTGTCAACATCATTCTTAAACTGTGGTGCCCAAATCTGAATGCAATACTCCAAGTGAGGTCTAACCACAGCAGAGTAAATGGATATCACTTCACACATTCTGGACATTGTACTTCTGTTGATGCAGCCCAAAATCGAATTTGCCTTTTTAGCTACTACATCACACTCTCGACTCATGTTCAGAGTATGATACACTAAGACCCCTAGATCCTTTTTGCAAGTACCCCTGCCAAGCACGTCTCCACCATCCTATAATCATACATTTGATTCTCTACCTGGATGCAGAACTTTATATTTATCTCTGCTGAAATTCATTTTTGTTAGTTTTAGCCCCATTTTTCAGCCCTTCAAGATCATCCTGTATCTTGATTCTGTCTCCTACTGTATTCGCTACCCCTCCCAATTTAGTGTCATCTGCAAATTTAATGGGTATTCCCTCTATTCCTTCATTGAAGTAATTTATATAGAAGGCCAACATTGAGAAGGGAGTGAAGGATGGTGGTGGGGCAGGTTCACTTGCTATGCCTGCCTATTTGTCAGAGTTATTAGAAATAGTAATAGAATTGTCTATATTTTAACTATTTTAAATTCTTTTAAAGGTGTTTTATTGAAATGTTGTTCATCACCCTGAGCCCTATGTATAGGGTACGGTGGTATACAAATCAAATACATAAAATAAAATAAAAAAAATTATTCAGCACACCACTTAGGAACGGGGGGGGGGGAGCTACTAGAAATGAAGCAATTATTCTAAAAAATATCCACAACCAAAACAGAAAATAATGTCATGCTTATACTAAAATACTGAAAACAAGGCTTTCCTCTCAGGATATTTCCAACATTTGGTATTGCACAGATTCTACTCATAGCAGCAAATACTCTAAATTAAAGTTTCCATCTTGATGATATATTTTGCTGTCCCTGTAAGACAGCTGGTGTGGCTTGACAGCACCCATGGACAGTTATGAAATGGACAGCTGACCATGCAGACGGTAATAGGAATTCGGATAGCAATACTCAAGTAAACCATTGACAGCACACTAACCATGGCTTTTCATACAGTACGCTGCACCCCATGTCATTTTGCCCTAGGACTAGACAAAGCATGGAAATGCAACTGCTGTCACATAAATAATCGGATAGCTTTGGTAAAAGAGCAAGTATAGCCCTGATCAACAATTAGTTTTATAGTAGGGCAACATTGAGAAGGGAGTGGAGGATGGTGATGGGGCCAGTACTGTTGCTCTGCCTACCATTCCTATGGCTTGGTATATGGATTGGGAAAAGTGGTCCTTCCCAGGGACTGGCTCCAGAGTACACGTGCACAATCTATGGCCTACTAAGGATGGGGGACCACCCAGAAAGGCAATGGCAACCACTCCTGTTCACCTCGTGCCTTGAAAATCCCATGGTCCTGGGGCTGCCACGGGGCAGTTGCAACTTGATGGCTCACACTATTATTATTATTACTCCAAAAGCAACTCTCCAAAAGCAACTCACCAAAAGCAACTCCAAAAGCAACTCACCTCCTGTCTGCTTTTGACTACAGAAACCAAGAGCTTATCAAGCCTCTGCTAGACCCCAGCACATGCCTGGTGGGCTACCTTGAGCTTGGTGAGTGTAAAGTTCTGCAGATATGCTTTGGAGTCTCTAACTGATGATCTCCAAGGTCCAACGGTATAGAATGTTCCTTGCAAAGTGAACTGATGCTCTTCCATGCCAATATAAATATAATAAACCCATAAGAGAAGGAGGAACCCCAGTTTAAAACATCATCTCAAAAGACCACTTATTCACAACATGGATGAAAATGTGACACAAGTTATGATTCATCTAGTTCCTAATATACCTCTGTTTAGCAGATATCAGTATGCCGAAGGCATTTTTTTTTCTTAGAACTTATTGTGGTTGCTTCCAAAATTATCTTACCTCAGCAGTACTGAATGAAGAAACTCCAGAATCCTGGTACACACATCTTTGTAACATCTAATAAGCCTGGGTAGGTTTGAATTTATTAATCTTGCTAATTTTCCATACACCACTGAAAGGATGTGTGTGTGTGTTTTCAGACCAGCCTGTGCATGAGTGATCCAGCACCTGTAACTTAATGAATCACTAATGCTAAGTATCTGAATGAGCATCTCTCATAAAATATTTTCACCAGCTTTTCCAAGAATGAGAGACAACCTGCTCATCCTGTCAATAGTGACTCATAAATCCACTCCCAGCTTAGTAACTTTAAAGTTACAGGGCTTGACACAGATCTAAAATGCCCTAGACAGGCTTGTCCCCAAATTCTCTGGTCCTGTAACTACAATTAAATTTTGATGACCTATTTTAAGTCTGAAGCTCAGGATGACTTTTCCTACTAAGCAACTGCAGTAGCAGTTCTTTGCTGTTCAGTTCACATGAGTGTCTCTCAATTTATGCTTACAGTGAGGATATGTTTATTCCAGTCCTCAATGGTACTTGCATGCAAGGCCATTTGTCAAGGGCTATAAATCATGGAATAAAAGACTGGGAGTATTGTGAGGCTTATTTCAAAGGAGAGTAAGCAGAGATATAAATGAAAAGACTGTTGCCCAAACATTACAACATCAGGAAACCTAAACACGAATCAGGACAGAGCTGCAGGGTGGGACCACAGCTCAAGCATGCTTTACATGTGCAAAGCCTCACTCACTAGCACTTAGAAAATATCTCCTGCACATTTACAGGTACATTCGAGACTCCATGGTCAATCAGATTTGACTGTGCTGAGACAAAGGACTCATCTGTCTGCCTTAACATAAGGTACATCCTTCTACTGTCACACTTCTCTCCATCCTCAAAATATGTAGCTCAGTATCCTTGAAATAAATATCCGTTGAGCTATTAACAAGACAACCCAAGAGTCCTGATCAATGATGCAGGCACAAACAGTGCTGCAGAAACACAGCTCTGGCTCGCTCCTGTGCAGTCCTCTTTATCTCCCTGGAGAGCTGCTTTGATGGGCCTCAGACTGCTGCAATTCTTTGTGCAATGCTGCATAAAGGTTCATGAGAATTCTCAGAGTCATAATTGAATTTTGTCTGGGCTGGTCAAGGCTTCCTTTCTCATGACATTTTCAGAGGACTAGTCTACTAAAAATTATGAATGGGTTGCCTTTTGGATGCTGCACCGCACTGCAGAGCTTGTTCAGCTGATGAATCATTCCTTTACCAGTTTAACAGCATTGAATTACTTAACGGAGTTTTACCAACTTTCCAGGCCTTTTTACAGCGGACTATCGCTAGACACAGCAGCAGCGCCCTCTGCCCGAGCCACGTGGGAACTGCACCCAGACAATCTTGTGTCCTCCCGCCCCCCCATGCATTCAGTTCCGCCTATTCCAACTGCGGGCACAGATTAACCACTACGTTACTTGGAAATCTGTCCACGCTCCTGATTTCACATAATTTGTATGTTTCACCAATTTGCGACTGCCCTTTCTAGGGGGAAATGTTCAACATACGATTCAACATGTAAGAAAGAGTGGCAAATCGCCTTAAAGCAAATGTAGCCCATGCAGTTTTGTAGCTGTTAACAGCATCCCTTAAAAATAGTTTGTAAAAAAATAAATAAACCATATATTGACTAATCTACAGCACAAG